CCTGGGCCAGACCCTGTGCTGCAAGCTGGGCACAGAGATGAACCGTATACCCTCCTTGCCCTTCAAGAGTCTAAAGGTCACATTCCTTGTGATTGTTCTTTGACTCTCTGCCTTGCTGGCTCCCAAACCCCATTTGTCAGCCCACTCAAGATTACCTGTCACATTAACCAAACTCATAGTAGCTAATGAACAAACTGGGACAGTATGTTAATTTGTGTTAAGAATTATTACAGTCATATGGGGCAAATAGTATTCCAAGCAGGACCAGCATGCTTTTGGGAACCAAATTATGATTAGAATACTGTTGTCCAGCCCAGAATCATACCAGTGGCTGGTGGTAACAAAAGTTTAAAGGACAGTCTGGCGGTGTGGTGCAGCAGGGTAAGCTGCCACCTGTGATGCCAGTATCCATTTGAGTGTTGGTTCAAGTCCTTACCACTCCATTTTTTATCCAGCTCTCTGCTAATAGACCTGGAAAATCAGTGGAAGATGGCCTAAGTGCGTGGGCCTCTGTCACCCACGTGGGAGATTCAAATGAAGCTCCTGGCTCTTGGGTTTGGCCTGGCCTAGCCCCAGCTCTTGTAGCCATTTGGGGGCTGAACCAGCAAATGGAAGATTTCTCTCTCTCTCTTTCTCTCTCTCTGTGACTCTACCTTTCAAATAAATAAATACATAGATAAATAAATAAATCCTAGAGGAAAAAAAGTTTACTGGAACCCAGATTAAAATACATAGGTAGTATTCCTTCAACAAACATACCCTGGACAATGGAACTATAAACACCACACATGTGAGCTTTTCTCTTCCCAGAACAGTGGTTGGATGGTGCATGGACATGGTAAAAACTACACTCATTTCTCTACTCTACTTTCACAAGATAGAACACTTCTGTGACCCCAGATGTGTGGTGGTTTCCCCAGCCCACATCCAGAAATTAATTCTGCAGCTGATTCTCCAGTGGGTACAGGCCAGGTGTCATCTAACTTGATTAAATGCTGACATTGTCTATCTGGGGATAGAATCAGACCACAAAGGCTGAGGGCCCAGTCCCACAGGACTGCCTGCCAATTCAGATGCCAGCTGCAAATTCAGGCCTCTGGAAGTTCTCATCAACTGCTTACAAACAGGTTGTTCTCACAACCCTCTCCTTGGCTTTGATTAATTTGCTGGAGTAGCTCAAAGAACTCATGGGAACTCTTTACTATGTTTACCCACTTATAACAAAGGATTTTACAAAGTCCACAGGTGAACAGCCAGAAGGAAGGTAGGCATGGATGGGTCAGAGCCTGTGGTGCAGGGGCATGGAACGTCTATTCCCTCTCTGCATGTGCACCCTCCAGAAACCTATTTGGAAGCTTCCCAAATTCAGTCCTTTGGGGTATTAATGGAGGCTTCATTACAGAGGCATGATTGATTAAGAGCAGCTTGACCTTCTGTCCTTCTCTCCTCTCCAACCACTGGGGTCTTAGGGGAGACCCTCAAAGTCCCAAACCTCTCTAATCCATGCCTTGGTCTTTGAGTGACCATTCCCCACCTTAAAGCAAGTTGGGGACTGGCCGGCGCCGCAGCTCACTAGGCAAATCCTCCGCCTGCAGTGCTAGCACCCCAGGTTCTAGTTCTGGGTGGGGTGCCAGATTCTGTCCTGGTTGCCCCTCTTCCAGGCCAGCTCTCTGCCTTGGCCCGGGGAAGGCAGTGGAGGATGGCCCAAGTCCTTGGGCCCTGCACCCTGCATGGGAGACCAGGAGGAAGCACCTGGCTTCAGATCGGCGCAGAGCGCCGGCCACAACACGCCAGCTGTGGAGGCCACTTGGAGGGTGAACCAATGGAAAAAAGAAGACCTTTCTCTCTGTCTCTCTCTCTGTCACTGTGTAACTCTGCCTGTCAAAACAAAACAAAACAAAACAAAACAAACAAAAGCTAGTTGGGGACTACCAGCTACCAGTCACCTTATTATTGGCATTCTTTTTATTTTATTTATTTATTTATTTATTTATTTATTTATTTTGACATGCAGAGTGGACAGTGCGAGAGAGAGAGACAGAGAGAAAGGTCTTCCTTTACCGTTGGTTCATCCTCCAATGGCTGCTGCGGCTGGCGCACTGTGGCTGGCACACCGCGCTGATCCGAAGCCAGGAGCCAGGTGCTTCTCCTGGTCTCCCATGTGGGTGCAGGGCCCAAGCACTTGGGCCATCCTCCACTGCCCTCCTGGGCCACAGCAGAGAGCTGGCCTGGAAGAGGAGTGACTGGGACAGAATCCGGCGCCCCGACTGGGACTAGAACCCGGTGTACTGGCACCGCAGGTGGAGAATTAATCTATTGAGCCGTGGCGCCAGCCATTATTGGCATTCTTATCACTGTGGAGATTTTAGGAATTTTAAGAACTGTTGATCAGCAAATGGAGATGATCACCAAATATATATTTCACAATATCAAAGATGGCCAATGCTAAAATTTATTTCAGAGATTGTCCTTTTATAAAAACTGTCCAGACTAATAGAGTTCCATTTCTTCAGATTTTACGCTTAATATCTTTTTTTTAATTAATTTATTTACTTGAAAGGCAGAGTTACAGAGAGGCAGTGAGAGAGAGAGAGAGAGAGAATCTTCTATCTGCAGGTTTACTTACCAAATGGCTGCAATGGCTAAAGCTGGGCTGATCTGAAGCCAGGAGCCAGGGGCTTCCTTCAGGTCTCCCACAAGGGTGCAGGGTCCTAAGGACTTGGACCATCTTCTGCTGCTTTCCCAGGTGCATTAGAACGGAGCTGGACTGGAAGTGGAGCAGCCAGGACTTGAACTGGCACCCATTGGCCTTATACTCTTCCTATCTCTAGCCACAGTTTGCTCTGATCCATGGTCATTCTATGCCTTTAAAGTAATGTTTGCCTATTTTCCCCTGTGACTTTGTATTTGGTAGTTTAACTCAAAGATAATCTTATTTCCTTAATTTTCCATTCTCAAAGGGTGTATTACTTGTAGACCTGTGTACAATAAATTTTTATATACTAAATGTGTTGATATGGGAAGGGAATAAGACAATTCGGATGGTCTTTGGTGAAGGAGTTAGGAACCAACACACCAGGCCTTCTGCAAGTGCTGGCTTGCTCTTCAGTTAGGGTCATACTCAGACAAAGTTCCCATGCTCAGAAATGAAAACGAGCCCCTACCACACGAGGTGGAAGATGCAGGACATGGCTCTCTCTTTTGAGGTATTTACAAAGCAGTAGACCCTTCCGTGCAGCCTTCTGGGTTGCCACCTTAACCTGCCCAGAGTTTCCATGATTGGAACCCAAATCCACACAGTCTGCTCAACATTCTGAGTTGTGAAGAACATGGCGGCCAGCGCCACGGCTCACTAGGCTAATCCTCCGTCTGTGGCGCCGGCACACCGGGTTCTAGTCCTGGTTGGGGTGCCGGATTCTGTCCTGGTTGCTCCTCCTCCAGGCCAGCTCTCTGCTGTGGCCCGGGAGTGCAGTGGAGGATGGCCCAAGTGCTTGGGCCTTGCACCCACATGGGAGACCAGGAGAAGCACCTGGCTCTTGCCTTCGGATCAGCGCGGTGCGCCGGATGCAGTGCGCCAGCCGCAGCGGCCATTGCGGGGTGAACCAACAGAAAGGAAGACCTTTCTCTCTGTCTCTCTCTCTCACTGTCCACTCTGCCTGTCAAAAAAAAAAAAAAAAAAAAAAAAAAAAAAAAAAAAAAAAAGAACATGCCAAAAGGCAAACAAAGCACACTCTATGGCACCAGCAAAGCAAAGCATGCCTTGAGCACACACACCTGCCAGTATGTGCACACACACACACACACACATTACTAGGAATAATTCAACATGTGAAGGTAAAAAAGGCACTGAAACAGTTATAGAAAATTAACAAAACAAACAAATCACAGGACTTGCTGGATTCTAAAATCCATGTTTTCGTTTTTGAAAATTTTATTTGTGGATGCTTTAGTGTTTAGGATCTCTAAATTCCTAAGTTGGTGATATCAATTCTAGTATTTTTACAACTCTTTTATTTTTTACTTTTACAACTTTTAGCATTAAAACCACATGATGTTCATGCTCATCAGGCAATTATATCTCTATATTTCAAGTTTCAACACATCTCACCCATGGGATACATTCCTAGCTCCTTCTAAGAAGCCATGAAAAGCTTTTCACAGTTCACTTTCATCTGACACTAAAATAGCTGTAAAAGTTAATTATACTTAGGGTCAGGGTTTTGTGCCGAACACTCAATACCTGACCATTAATTATTATTTTCCAAGTATTGAAAGTATAGTATAAGATGTTAAGTACAGGTTGAAACCTGGTCCATGTCCCAAGGCTTACTACATAAATTACAAGACCAAATCAATTTAGACTACACACTAAGCAAGGCTAAACTTGAAAGACACAAAGTTCAAGGACTTTTCTGTAAATTTCTAAGAAGTTACTAAAATTCTCACAACAATTTGTTAGTTTGAGGGTAGAAATTTGTGCTTTTGTTAATCTCAGAATGCCACTGCTGTTGTTCTGGAAAGAATACTAGAATTCTAATACAATTTCAGTCACTTTGTTGTTGTCCCAAGAGTAAAATAAAAGAAAATCTCAATATAAAACTCTTTTGATACCAGATTCCTCATATGCATCAAAGTGAACGAAAATATATCAAGCCATTTAACAATATTCACAAAGATAGCACAATGCAAAGAGACTTTAAAAATAGACTTTGTTTTTTAGAGCAAGTTGGGCTTACATAAAAATTGGGTGGAAGATACAGAGATTTCCCACATGCCCCTTGCCTTCACCACATGCACAGCCTCTCCCATTATCAACATCCACCACTGGAGTGATGTACTCCTTAAAACCAACAAGCCTCCGTGGACTCAGCATTCTCATCCAAACTTCACAGTTTACAACAGTTGACGACAATCGGTCCCTAATTTCACTGTGCCTGACTCCATTCCTGTCCTTTGCTGCACTGGCACACTCGGATAACCTCTCATATGTAATTAACTTCTTTTTTGCTTAATCCCTTGGAGTTGATCCCTGTTATTTCCAATCAAGCATCTTAACTGTTACAAATAGCTGGCCACTCTGATACGCAATTGAAAGTTTGCACAATGAAGTACTTGCATAAATTATTGAAATGGGGATGGTTAATTCCTTTTGAAATATATGAAAAAAAAAATCTTACCATTGTGAGTCTGTTTTGTTCCACAGATGTCACTGGAGAAGCTGTTTTCTGTAAGACTGATAAATACCTTTGCTCAGTGTAACTTTATTTTGAATGTATCAAAACATTAAATCTAAAATTGTAAAACATACAGATTTTTAGTATATTTTAAGAGTTTTACATGGTATATTGTGGGGAGCAATCCGGACTGGACTGAGTTACTGGAATTAAGACTTATTCTATGCATCTGCTCTCCCACAATATGGCGCTGGGAGAGAAGTAAACAGCTTCCGCACAGCTGCCTCCAGTTCAACTAATAAACTGTAGGACTTGCTCCTGATTGGAGGAGAGCAGCGTACTCGGCGTGTGGGCAGCCGAGTTAGGATTGGCGGAGGAGGACTATAAAGGAGGGGAGAGACGGCATGCACCAGGAACATCTAAGGGGAACATCTGAGGGAACACCTGTGCAGCCCCCGAGACGAGCCGGCCGGCGGTGTGCCGCTCCCCTGCGGAAGTGGGGAATGTGGCCAGGGGGAACTGCCCTTCCACGGAGGTGGAAGGGATAGTAGCCAACCCGGGAAGAACCAGCAGCAAACCCGGGGAGGGCCGAGCAGACGAAAGAACAGTGCAGGGTCCTGTGTCGTTCCTCCACGAAGAGGGGGAGTGACATAATGGTGCCGTGACTCGGATATGAAGCCTAGGCAGGGCTTGGTGTCGTTCCTCCACGAAGAGGGGGAGCGACAGTATATCATGCAATGAAAATAAAATCACCAGCTTTTGTTTGGACAGGTCAACAAAACAGCAATAGATAAATTCTACAAAGTGGTGGTATTAGCACTTACATCTAGAAAACAAACTATGCAGAATTTGGAAAAGAGCCACCTGACTATTCTGGTCAGGTAGGAGAATTTGAGAAGCCACCTCAAGGACTCCAGCGAACTAACCTTGCTGGAAATGCAGGCAGCATTATCTTCCTTGTTAATATTTATTTTTTCAGCATCCAGTGACATTTATTGGGTATCTAATGCTTTCTTACTTACTGCTCTATCTGCCTGGTGGACAAGGTCTTGGCTTATAAAAGGTACACAATAAATAGTTTTAAATGAATATCAAAAGAATCAGTACACATTTTCTTTTTCTTTTCTTTTTTTTTTTTTTTTTTTTTTTTTTTTTTTTTTTTACAGGCTGAGTGGACAGTGAGAGAGAGAGACAGAGAGAAAGGTCTTCCTCTGCCGTTGGTTCACCCCCTAATGGCTGCTGCGGCCGGCGCGCTGAGGCCGGCACACTGCACTGATCTGAAGGCAGGGGCCAAGTGCTTATCCTGGTCTCCCATGTGGGTGCAGGGCCCAAGCACTTGGGCCATCCTCCACTGCACTCCCTGGCCACAGCAGAGAGCTGGCCTGGAACAGGGGCATTCGGGACAGAATCCAGCGCCGCGACTGGGACTAGAACCTGGGGTGCTGGTGCCGCTAGGCGGAGGATTAGACTATTGAGCTGCAGCGCCGGCCACACGTTTTCTGATATGTAGAGAATAAAATCATCTGTCCAATTACTTTAAGACAATTCTATTTTGAATATATTAAGAAATCATATGAAATGACAAAAGAGGGATAGCATAATATTTAAATGGACAGTGTCTTGATTTGTTCAGGCTGCTATAACAAATATTATACACTATGTAGCTTGTAAACTATTGAAATTTATTTTTCCCAGTTATGGAAGCTGAGGAGATCAAGATCAAGGTGCTTCTGGGAGACTATATGGAGATACCTCATATGATCTAGCTATACCACTCCAGGGAATTTACTCAAACCAAAAGAAACCAGCATGTGAAAGAGTTATCTACACCCCCATGTTCACTGCAGCTCAATTCACAATAGTTAAGATATGGAATCAACTCAGATGTCCATTAACTGATAACTGATAAAGAAATTATGGTTTATATACACTATGGAATACTACTCAGCAGTAAAAAAAAGAAATCCTGTCTTTTGCAATAAAATAGATGTAGCTGCAAACCTTTATATTTAGTAAATAAGCCAGTTCCCAAAAGACAGATATCATGATTTCCCTGATCTGGGGTAGATAACAGAGTACCTAAAATGTAATGTATTGGAGTGAAATGGACATTTTGAGATTCAGTGTTTGTTTACAGCCCTTGTCTACTGTTGAGGAACAGTGTCTTTTCTTCATATGGTTTGTTGAACTCTTTACTTAGTGTAGGGTTAGCCTTATGAGTATAAGGTAAACTGAAAGTAGATCTTTGTGAAAATTAAGAGTGGGAATAGGAGAGGGAGGAGGAAGAAGGGCTGGAGCATGGGCGGGAGGGAGGGTAGGGTGGGAAGTATCACTATGTTTCTAAATCTGGATATATGAAATACATGAAACTTGTATACCTTAAATAAAATTTTTAAAAAAGTAAAAAGAAAAAGAAAGATCAAGGTGCTAGAAGATTCAGCTTTCTGGTTCACAGGTGGTACCTTCTAGCTGTGCCTTCCAATGGCTGAGGGGCAAGATAGTTCTCTGGGGTCTTTTGTATAAGGGCACTAATCCCACTAGTGATTGGGTGACTTCATCATCTCCCAAAGGTCTCACCTCCTGATACCATCACCTAGGGGTTTAGGATGACCACATATGAATTTTTGAGGGGACACAATATTTAGATCAGAGAGAAAATGTGAATAATTTATTAGTTAATAATTAAGATTATTAATAATTTATTAAAATTGGTTTTGTTACTTTTATTACAAACCATCAGTGATGACCAAAGAAAAACAAGTTAATTGAAAAATCATTTTACCTAGTATAGTGATTAAACATTTTAAATGTTGATGAAACATGGTTTTGAGGCAGGTATAATAAAATTTGTACACACTTACACTGCTATGAAGACTACGATATTCCATTTGGGGCAGGTGCTTGGCCTAATGGTTCAGATGCTGGCTAGGGTACCCACATCCCACACTGGAGTGCCTGGGTTGGATACAAAATAGGAATAGCACAATATATAAATGGTCGGTATCTTAATCTATTCAGGCTGTTACAACAAAATATCATAGACCATGTATCTTATAAACAATTGAAATGTATTTCTCACACTTCTGGAGGCTGGGGATTCCAAGATCAAGGTGCAGGCATCTGGACTAGTGGTTAAGATGCTGAGTAGATGCCCAAATTCCACATCCGAGTACCTGGGTTTGACTCGCTGCTCCACTCCTGACTGCAGCTCCCAGCTGATGCAGACCCCAACAAGCAGTTGCAAGGAATTTGTGAAAGCCCTGGCTTGAGTTCCCGGCTCCCAGCTTTGGCCTTCTGGCTGTTGCAGGCATTTGAGGAGAGCACAAGTAGACAGAAACTCTCTCTTTGTCTGTCTCTCGCCCTCTGCCTCTGAAATTAAAAACAATTTTTAACATTATTGTATTTTTTAGTAACTATCAATAATCATTATTATGCGATACTGTCCTGAAAATTAATCTGAAGGGAGAACACCAACAGAAGGGAAAACAAAATATATGAACATGTTTATTATGTGCATATGTTTAGGTATTTAGAAATATTATTTTAATAATGAAAAGAGAGCTGCTAGGAACAGTAGTTGAGATGCCAGCTGGGGTGCCCACATCCCATTTCAGAGTGCCTAGGTTTGAGTCCTGGCATGCTTCTAATTCCAGCTTCCTGCTAAAGTACACCCTGGGAAGTAGCAGATGATGGTTCAAATACTTGGGTACCTGCCACCCACCTGAGAGACCTTGCTTGGGTTCCTGGCTCCCAGCTTTAGACTGGCCCAGCCTCAGCTGGCTGTAGGCAGGCATTTGGGGACTGAACTGCAAATGGGAGTTCTCTCTCTCTCTCTCTCTCTGTGTGTGTTTTAAATAAAATGAAAATAAATGATAAAAATTTAAAAATGAAATTCTTATCAGTCACTAACAGGAGACTCATTAAATGAATTAGGGTACTCCAGTCAATAGACATATGAAGAACACAGAAAATATATTATTATGGAAAAATGCTTATGACATATGCTAAGTTTAAAAAGCTGAAAAAAAAATTATATTACACTATGGTTACAGTCAAATAATAAATATCCCCGACGCAGTCCTGGAAAAAAAGTAAATGAAGTTTGATCATTGGAATGGTACTACAGCATTATTTAGAATCTAGATGTAAATTTCATTTATTTAGAATTAATGAAGGAAATTTGGGGGTGGTAAAAGGGGAAAAATACTTTTCTGAAGAAAACAAGTGAATTTTAGAAAAAAGAACATTGAAGATAAATAAGATTTGCTGGATATGGGTAGTGTGGTCAACAACTTTCTTAAGTGCCAAATCTTTGCATACTTCAGAACATGGAATTGAAAATTCTTGGTATAATATGAAAAAGTTGAAACTTTTTTGAAACAAACTGAGGGATGGACAGATGTATGAAATTTACACAAAAAAGTTTTCATTAAACACTTCTTGATGAAAATGAGATAATAAACAAGCTGGAATGTGACTGAGTCTGGATTTTTAAAAAAATGCCTTCTCCTACAAATAAGTAAACTCTAGGAAGGCTATTTCAAAGTGTGGTGGAAATTCTCTGCCTCAAAACAGACTTTCCACAGTATGACACAAAAGCAGCCAGGCATAAAAGGGTACGTATGCCATGACTTTACTTACATAAAAATCTAGGAACTGGCAAATTTATGAAATATGCACTCTGCCACCTGCAAATTATCCCTCAATAAGGAAGAGAAAGTGGTCTGTAATCAGATAGGCTCATTCCACAGACCTGAAAATCACACGCAGACATTCAGAAGGCTTCATTTTCCTTACGCTGCCTGTTCAGAAAGTAATGAACCTTTTCTAAGTATTTTGAGTCATCGGACCTTACTGGATAACCTTGGGTCAACGTGCGTGGTCATGAATGGCAAGATGGTCATTTAATGAGTTATGAAGGCTCACATTGGTCAGACTGAATGGACACCTTGAAGGCTACTGCAGCTTATTCTCCATCAAAAGTGGGTCCTCTTTGCTAAGTTACTGAATTTTAAAGGCATCTAAGAAAAAAAGATCAGGAAGTCACACACTGGCCATGGGTATTGAGGCCAACACAGAGATTTCAGGGCCTTGTGTGCAGAGGGAGAAGCACAAACTCCAGGACCAGCAGAAAGGATGGAGTGTAAGGTAGAGCCAACCTAATGTTCGCATCTTCCTGTCTACCATAACTGTCCTTCCGAGATATATTATTTTGGGAAATCTTACTCTCACAGAGAAGAGAAGTTATTGACCACTGTGTATGAGCACAGCGAATCAAAGTACTGTAGAGTAGAAAGAGCACATTCTTTATGGTCATGGAAATTAGGAATCAAATTCCAGTTCTCCTACTTCCTAAATACAAGGGTACTTCAAAAAGTTTGTGAAAAATGTAATTAACAGACAAGTTTATTTGGGGGTATAAAAAATTTGACTCTGTCTCTCTCTCTCTCACTGTCCACTCTGCCTGTCAAAAAAAAAAAATTAAAAAAAAAAATAAAGAAAGAAAAATTTGAAATCCGTGCATTGCTTTTTCACAATACAGGTTTTCTATGACCTTTGGAAGTACTCCTGCATGTGACTGTGGAAGAAATATTCAATTTTTCTAAATTTCAGTTTCTTCACCTGTTAAATGAGAGCAACACTGGATGCCATAAAGTGTTATCGCAAGGAATAGAGATGATGTGTACAGAAGCCAGTGCCTGGCACGCTCAGGAAGTGATGGTAATGGTGATGAGGCATCACCAGAACAGCTTTGTTCAAGTGACAGAGTCTTTCTGACATTCAGGTTTTTCCATTTAAAATTTCTACACAAAAAACACACCTGTCCAAAAAAAAAAAAAAAAAAAAAAAAAAAAAAACCTGTTGAGCATGCCTTCTGAGGTTAAAATAATTTGCAAGCAATTTATTGTTGTTCTGTCTGGCCTTACTACCTGGTTCTACTGAATTAAGTGCTTTTAAACTAGGGGTACTAGAAAAGGAGGGGGGCACATGTATTTACATACCACAAAAGGAGAAAAACAGAGATGGTGAAAAGCACTGATTGTCCCCCAGCCCAAGACAGAAACCTCCCCTGACCAGGCCATAATCATTAAACAATGAAAATGTGGCCTTACATTGGCCTTTGGTTCACCCTCCTGGAGGGTTCTAACGCCAGCACCAGAGCAAGAGCAGTTCCTCCTTCCTTCTCTCTCCAGGGTGGGGGTGGGGGGTGGGGAGTAGAAGCAGTCCAGATGTTATCTTATTTAGGGATAAGAAAAAGGCAGTAAAAGAAGTAAGTATTTGGCCACCCTGGGCCAAGCAGTACAAAACTATCTGATCCATGATATATTTTAAAAGAAAACATTGTTGAGCCGGCGTCGCGGCTCACTAGGCTAATCCTCCGCCTTGCGGCGCCGGCACAGCGGGTTCTAGTCCCGGTCGGGGCGCTGGATTCTGTCCCGGTTGCCCCTCTTCCAGGCCAGCTCTCTGCTGTGGCCAGGGAGTGCAGTGGAGGATGGCCCAAGTGCTTGGGCCCTGCACCCCATGGGAGACCGGGAGAAGCACCTGGCTCCTGCCATCGGATCAGCGCTGTGCGCCGGCCACAGCACGCCGGCCACAGCGGCCATTGGCGGGTGAACCAACGGCAAAGGAAGACCTTTCTCTGTAAAAAAAAAAAAAAAAAAAAAAAGAAAAAAAAGAAAACATTGTTGCTATCTGAATCCAGAAAAGCATGTCCTGTGTTTCTCTGTTTAAAGGAGAAAAAGAAAGTCACAACAACTGGGCATGGGAAAATTCCCCAGACACAAGGCTAAAGCTTGCTTTTCCCTTGCCTTCATGCCAGCCAAGGGCCATGACCACAAATAGGACTTTACCTAACGCCCAGGGTTGCTATGAGGATTAGATGAAATAACAAAGGTACCCTGTGGAGTGCAAAACACTGTATTTATATTAGTCAGGTTATTATAAGAAGGATTCTGGTATAATTCCAAGTTTGTCTGCAGACATTAACAATGAAAAACAAAACAAAACAAAAAGCCAGTTGGCCATATCTGTCAGACAGGAAGCCTGTCTGACTCTTGAATACAGACTGGATTCCCTTTGGCTGAGCTGCACCTGCCAGCCTGGAAGCCCCTGGCGCTTGGTTCATGAATGAACAGGTCCAGAGCTTCCTGCTCCCCCGCCCTCCAGTCTGGGCTTCGGCTCCACCCTGCAGTGCTGGCTCAGGGCCACGCCTGGGCTGATTTTGCCCTTCAGATTGCCTGGCACTGCATTTCTGGTACCATCGGGCCTTGAGCCAGAGTCTCAAGTCATGCACAACACAAGTGCCTTCCACACGAGGGCTAGGGATCTCCCTTCCTCTTTCACCTTAAATCCCTCCTATTCCTAGTTTGTCTCCATGTTTCTTTTAGTCCAAATTCCCAAATAGGATCTGTGACATTAAGAGAGAAGGGCCAAGGATCAAAGAACCAAATCTCTCCCATTAACTTGCTTGTGAATCAAGTCTCTACCACCTCTCAACTGCTAATTCCTCACTAACTCTTATTTCCAAAAGCTGGCATCTGGTAGGTTCTTAATACCTATTTACCAAATGAAAGCAAATATGCAGTTTTGAATTGACTAACACCTGTCTCGTGAAGCCTGGGGCCTTTTCCTGGACCTTACCTTCCTCCAGGCCTGCTCTTCATTTGGGTTCCTAGGCTGACTTCCACTTTAGTTCTTCACACACACAAGACCACTGTCACTCATCTATTCTCTTCTATCTGCATTTTGGAGGAAAAAAGAAATTTAAAAAGGAACAAACTTCACTTTTCATCTGTTTCTCAGAAGGGGCTGGAATCAATGTGACAATATAAGCCTGCGTGTGTGTGTGTGTGTTTGTGTGTGTGTCTTTGCAGTGGTATGGAGAGACTGTGAGGTTGTGTTTTTGCCTGTAGGAGACTAGGAGAGCTATCCTGGTTAGAACGCTCAATGGCTCACGGTAGAAGCTATATCCTGCCACAAAGCTTTAAGAGGAACATATTCCCACGTCACAATTCCTACTGAGACAAGACAGAAACAGGACTAAGTCAAGCCCCTCCTAACCTGCTTTTATCCACCTGCAGATATAAACCAATCAAGAGCAAGGATCGTTCAGACTCTAGCTGCAGAAGACACTCAACTGCCCCTTTAGGGACTTCCCCAACCAGGGCACAAGCCCCAAATAATGCAGGATGACTGATACATGACCTTCCTGGGGATGTGGCAGTGAGGAGCACCACCATTTTGAGCGTGTTGTGTGCAAAAAAAAGCAACTGCAACTGTGCAGAACACCCAGCCGGGTGTAAACCCAACTGAGAGGGCAAGGTCATACCTAGCTGGGTAAAACTGGAACTGTTCAGTTCCCGTTAGGGCACCCGTGGGTAGAACCTCTTGCTGCTGTGGTGCCTCTATGTGTTTGGGGAAAAGCCCCCAATAAACTTCATTTTGGGTTGAAGATTGGCCTCTTGTCAATTTCTATTTGCAAGTGGGCCAAAGAACCCAAGGGTGGTATTACTATCTTCAGAAGCCTTGTGGATCAGGACGGGGAGAGCCAGGTTTGCTATGCTATGGTTTAACACTGTTACACTGCTGGAATACATCTAAGTGGAACCCCACAGAATATCAAACAATTAAATATTAAACATGTAGTTGGGATACTGAGAGAGGTAAGAGAGAATGGAGCAGAAAAGCATTTGAAAAAATAATAACTGAGATTTTCCTTAATTTGATGAAAGACAGAAATTTGGAGATATAAGAATATAAGATTCTAAATTAACACCAATCAGAATAAGCACAGAAAAGTCCATTCGATGCACATCATAGTCAAATTATCAAAAGTCAATGATAAAGAGCAACTCTTGAAAGCAGTATGAGAAAACTATTTATCTCATTTCAGGGAACAATTATCTGATTAAAACCCAACTTCTCAATAGAAACCACAGGCCATGGGGTGGATATTCCATGCAGATTTAAGACATTGCTTGTGACGCCTGCATCTCATAACAGAGTGCCTGGGTTGGAGTTCCCAGCTAAACTCCCAATTCCAGCTTCCAGCTAATGCACACCCTGCGAGGCAGTGTGCAATGGCTCACATGGTTGGGTCCCTGCCACCCACATGGGAGACTCATATTGAATTCTGGCTTGCTGGCTTCATCCTGGCCCAGCCCTGGTTGTTGCGGACATTTGGGGAATGACCCAGCAGGTGGGAGGTGTCTCTCTCTCTCTCTCTCTCTGCCTTTCAAACAAATTAAATAAATAGATAAAAATAAAAAAGAAGTCAAAAGAAAAAAATGGGAAAACAGGGGCTGGCGCTGTGGTGCAGCTGGTTAAAGCCCCATCCTGCAGCTGGCATCCCATATGGATGCAGGTTTGAGTCCTGGCTGCTCCACTTCTGATCCAGCTCCCTGCTAATGTGCCTGGGAAAGCAGCAGAGGATGGCCCAGTACTTGGACCCCTGCACTCATGTGGGAGACCTGGAAGAAGCTCCTTGCTTCTGGATTTGGATAGGCTCAGCTCCGGCTGTGGCGGCCATTTGAGGAGTGAACCGGCAGATGGAAGATCTCTCTCTATGTCTCTACTTCTTTCTGTAACTCTGTCTTTCAAATAAATAAATCTTTTTAAAAAATGGGAAAACATTCTTAAAATGCTGGAAGAAAAAAAAAACACTAAATCCGTTAGCCCAGAATTCGATATCCAATGAAGATATTATTCAACTGGCAAGGCAAAATAACAATATTTTTAGATAAAATAAAAATAAGAGAATTTGTGGCCAATAGACCTGCGCTGTAAGAAACACTAAAGGAAGTTCTTTAGGCTAAAGGGAAATAATATCAGATGGAAACTCTGATCCTCAAGAAAGAATGAAGAGCATTAGAAATGACAAATATCTAGACAAATCAAGACTACTTTTGTGGCCCATATCCTTTTAATTTCCTAATAAATTTCTCCCTTAAAACTAAAGGTAAAGTATTATCTTGGAGGATCTATTACTGGTAGAAGTAATACATAAAATATGAACTCCAAGTTCTCATAGCCCTCCTACTCTGTTAGATGGTATTTATTTTATAGGATGCTTGGAATTTGGAACTGCTTCTCTTATCTACTCTAGTCCCCTTCCACCACTGCAGGTTTGCTTTTAGGTTACATTGTATAGGAAAGGATAGAGGATGGAACCTTAGCAAGCTAACAGAAGAGGAGGTTGACAGAACACAGGATATATAGGACTGAGGAGGAGGATCAAATGTATGGGAGAACAGGTTGAGATTAAATATTCCCATGGTTAAAAAAAAACCAAGTTGCCAGGAACAAACATAAGCCTCTGTTCTAGATAGTGACAGAACCAGGGGAAGAGAAGTGGTCTCCTCTCTGACCTCGCAGGCCCCTCACTCTATGGGAATTGCTAATCTTCTATAGGCTTGACAAGAATGTCTCTGTTTCAGGCAGGACTTGGCTCCTCCAGGCGCTTGCTCTCCAGATGGTACTGAGCGTGAACAGAAATGAGATCTGGGAAAAACTGAGGGAATTTACAGATACAGAGCTAAGGCCTGCCCTGTGGGAAGGGGAAGTCGAGGAAGTAGGATGGGGGATGCACCATCTATGTGAATCAGAAACATCGGAGGAAGACGCAAGGAAGGATAAGCATGTGCGTGGAGAAGACTGGGCTGCTCCAGGTGCTGAACTTCCCGGGGAACATACTGAGTTCTCTGGAAGTTGGGTTAAGGTGTTGTCGGCCTCAAAGGGGAAGGGATTTTTGCATGTGAGTGGGAAACAATGATCTGGAATCAATAAGAAGGACAAGGAAGATGCCCCTTTGACCACCTTGAAGATCTGCGCTTCCCTCATACAATCTATTTTTACCTTGCTGAAGAGAACTACCATTACCTGGCCAACCCTACAACACTTCATTGCTTCTCTTCTCTTATTACTTCAGTCTAATCACACGCTGAATATTTTCCAAATTCACCCTTGAATTACATAGGGTGGAAGGTATGTGTGAGAGATGACTCTGGGATCCAGACAGCTGTTTTACTGCTTGGGATACTGTAGGCATTGTGGAGAGTAGCCTTGGGGGCATTTGGGCAGTCACTTAAGACAAAGGGGGGAATCAACTCCCTAGCTCTGCCCAGAGATACAAACCGCCTACAGGGGACAACCTCATGGACCATAAAAAAAAATCATCTCACTTTAATCGAGAAGCAGTGTAGTTTAAGCATGCTTCTTTAATTATAGTTCATATTTCAACAAACAGCCTCTCATCCTGCCTCTTGCCCCCTTACAAGCATGTAGTAACAATCACCTTGACTAAAAAAGACTGCTGCTATAGGTATTCCTTTCAGATTAAGGTCTGAGTTCGAGCAGTTGTCAGTGCCTACCTGATCTGCCTACCTGCTGCTTCCTTGGAGTGTGTTCAACAAATACAACTTTGCTCACTCTCCCCACTGGTGAATTCTTCTCACAACCTGTGATATAGGCCTCAGCTGTTCACTTCCTGTGACAGGCATGTATACAAGTCCTCAATTTCCATCAGATTGTTTTTCTTTTGTTCTAAGGAGTCTTTAATTCCCCCCCCCTTATTCCTTTATAAATCTTGCTTTGTACAAATTCCATTTTTGTTCTGCCAAGGATTTGATATCTCTTTCAGAAAGAAGACTAGGTGAACTGTACCAGGATGAGAACTACAAAAACCAAAGAGACTGATTAAATGATGGGATGGAAACATAGACTATCTGTCTCTTAGAAATTAAAAAAAAAAAATAGTCATTATCTGTAGGCCAACTCTCTGAAGCACCATGTCAAAAAGGATTCTGAGGTTTAGACTGTTTAATATGGGCTCTAAAATGGAGTGCTAACTGCAATTAACTAGTGAAGTCTGCAGTGGGAGGACACCACGTGCTTGAGTGCCATCCCTTGCCTGGGTGCCTTTGATGCGGGTAAGGCAGGGAGTCAGCGAGGGACAAGGAGCTAAGAACTGCCAACATCCAAGATACGAGCACAGCCCAAAACCTATCACCTTCCATGAGCTGACTCAACATGGCTCAAGACTCAGTGCACGTATTCCTCATCGTGAAGCTAAGCCTCACTTTCCGTCAGGTACCAGATGCCATGACACTGTGAATATTACCACATGTACTACAGCCCCACCATAAACCCTATCTCCTTTGGATCTGCAATCAGGAATCTACACCAGGCCACTCCTCGTATCCTATACAAAAGACAACTCCCAGCATGGAGAGCAGAATTCTTCCTCTTGAGGTAGCCTACAGTCACACCTGAGTGTGTACCATCCCTTTGCTTTTTTTTTTTTTTTTTTTTTTTTTTTTTTTTTTGACAGGCAGGTTACACAGTGAGAGAGACAGAGAGAGAAAGGTCTTCCTTTTCTGTTGGTTCACCCCCCAATGGCCGCTGTGGCTGGCGTGCTGCGCCAATCCGAAGCCAGGAGCCAGGTGCCTCTCCTGGTCTCCTATGGGGTGCAGGGCCCAAGGACCTGGGCCATCCTCCACTGCACTCCCTGGCCACAGCAGAGAGCTGGCCTGGAAGAGGGGCAACCGGGACAGAATCCGGCGCCCCGACCGGGACTAGAACCCGCTGTGCCGGCGCCGCAAGGCGGAGGATTAGCCTAGTGAGCTGCGGTGCTGGCTCACAGTTGTATTCTTACACACGGGAAGACAAGAAGCTGGACTAAGTCTAGCGAGGGGATCTCTTTGAGCCCAGTGGGGACTCTAGATCCCCAAACATAATTTGGGGTTCCTAAACCCACAACAGTTTTACAGATGGGGACAGACTGGCTGGCTCAGCAAGTAAGAGAACTCTTAGGCTGATACCAAGAAGTCAGGGCTGTGTGTCAGTGAAGCTCAGGACATGTCTGTCAGGTCTTCGTCAGGGCCTGATTGAAGAGTTAGGAACCAGGGTGAGAGCGGGAAAAGCCTGTTTATAATAACTGACGTTTGCTAAATTCCTCACCTGAGCTGGCTGGCTGGTTCAGGAAGGGCTGGACTTTGCAGCATCCCTCTCAAGTCAACACTGCCCTTTTCATCTGCCCCGACAGATGAAGGCAAGGAAGCCATGGGACCAGTCGATCTGCCCAGATTTCCCCCGTGCCAACAGTCATCGGAGATTTGAGTTTTCTACCTAGATCAGCATCCAACCTGCTTCTTAAAGCTAACAGAACACCTTGGCTCTTAGATGCCGATTTTGTTTTGTTCATTAGGAACCACTGATCCCTACCTTACCCCAACCACACAGAGGCCTTTCCTTTCCTACTCCCCTGAAGGAGTGCTGAGTCAAGAGCAAGCCCTTGTCCATAGTGGTGACTTGAGTTGAAATCTGTACTCTCCTAAACAGACCAGGAGCTGGAGGGGAAGACACAGAAGAAATTCAAGTTTGAGCTTCACCAGTTGGTTGGCTCTGGGATGGGCCTGAATGTTTAGCTCTGAGGGCAGGGGCCATGCAGGGGAGGTGGTCTTCTTACTGTTGGGTCAAAGTGGACGGTAGGTTGCTCTGTGTGTGAACAGGGGTGGCAGGTGCTCCTTAGTAGCCATATCTGTGTGTTAGGGATAAGGGTGAGGAATGGTGAACGAATGACCCTTGGGTATGGTTAAGGCCGGGACAGCGCCTGAGAAAGGTCCATGAGGCCTGTAACAGATCCATGAGCAAGGGTAGAAACACCCTCCTTCCCACCCGCGCTCTCCAAACCCCAGGAAATTCTTGCTCCCCCACCCCATCAGCGAGAAGATTCTAGAGCGAGCCTCGTGTGGGGCGCAAAAGAGAAGTGCTAGATGCGGGCGCCGCTTGGTGCTTTCCAAAAGCACCACCCCACTTCGGCATGTCACCTCTGGGAGGAGTCAGGTGGGTCGTCGCAGCTCCAAGACTGCCTGCCGGGTCCGGAGCGTCGGCCTCCCCGAGGGCCGAGAGGAGCGCTTCGGAGTAAGCCCACGGGGTCCGGGGTCCCGGGGATCCCGGGGTGAGCGGCCGCGCCCGGGCAGCTTCGGGCTCCCGAGGGTGGGAGTAGGTGCCCGGCGGGCGGGCCGTCAGCTGCCCGGCCCGTCGCCTGCCTCCCCGCCCCCCGGCTTCCTGCGGAGGCCGCGGCCGCCATGTTGTTGTGGGGCTGAGGCGGCGCCGGCAGAGGCGAGCGCCCTTGACAGGCTGCGCAACAGGTTCGCCGGCGGCCGCCTGACGACCGACGCGGCGGCGGCGGCGGCGGCGGCCGAGCAGGGTCTCCCGCACCCGTCCGCGCGCGCGCGCTGCGGGTGCCGAGGAGCGCGGGGTCGCGCCGTGACGTGCGGGAGGCGCGGCGCCAGGTGGGTGAGAGCCGCTCGGCTCGCCGGGGCTGCCGCAGGGCGCGGGGCAGGTGCGGGTGCTGCTGCCGCGCCGCGCCCGCCGCCCAGAGGCTCTGAGGGCCGGGCTGAGGCAGCTGTGCGCCCCGGACGACGGGGACGGGTCCTCGGGAGCCCCTGCGGCCCCCGGGCTAGGCCCCTGGCGGGCTTGGCCGCGCCGGGCGGAAACCTCCGGCCCCGGGTTCCTGCCCCCGCGGCGGGGCCGGGGCGGACGCGGCGGGGCCGGGGACCTGGCCGGCTCTTCCCTGCTGCGGAGCGTGGGCCCCTGACCGCGGCCACGTCTGGCAGGTGGCGGGGGCGGCGTGGCCCCCTGGCTTCGGGAGTGCGGGCCGAAGAGAGCCCTGGGCGCACCGCACGCTTCTTCGGGGCCCCATTTTATTTGGGCGGAGTTGGTTTTTTCCCTCTTGGTCATGGCTGGTGCGGAATGTCAGGTGAGCCGCATCCCGGTGCGTCAAAGTGGCCCCAGTCGCCAGAGGACTGTGGGCGGATCTGGGCGTCCACGGCTCGCGTTAAGCCAAAGTTGGGAAATGCTGAAATGCGACTTAGGCGTTGTTGAATTCCAGGTATACAGCAGGCACGGCGAGGTAGCGTCTCTGAGACCAGAGTAAAGTTTATTGCTTATTTAAAAAAAAAAAAAAAAAGGGGCTACATGTGCAGATTGGGTAAACTGAGGCTAAAACTGCAGCTCTATTTGGATTTTTTAGTCATGCACTTTGTCGCTGAACGATTGCCGATGGCAAGTATGCTCCATTTGAAACTTGTGTTAATAGAGGATTAGGAATGTTTTTTGATAGAACCAGCCACTTTGCCGTAGGCATGAAGGCATTCCTACAGAAATGACTGCCTAGTTTATCTCGTCAGTGTTGTTGCTTACCTAGAGGCAGGCAAGATGTGACTTGAGATTTTGTGTTGTTGGTCAGCTTAATTTAGGCAGCACTGACTGTAGGTTAAGCTTCCTAAGCCTGTCAAGAAAATTAAATGCCTCCCTCCCTGTGCGGATTTGCAATATTGTTAATCAGTGATAAAGCTAAAAGCAACCCAGAAATGTCACATAGAAATCTTTTCGTGAATTAATGATAGTGCCCCTCAAAACTTACAAATAGTAGCAACTCTGACGTGCCCACATTTAAGTTTATTGGTTGTGGCTGTTATTCCCTTATAATTTCAAAAGTAAATAAATTGGAAATATGTTTGTGAAGGATCTTGGAAAATGTGTATTGTTGTGGTTTTGATACAACATTAATATGTAATCAAAAAGCTTTTTTAACCCTTTAATGGATTAATAATTGTTCTTTTTGCTTGCCTTTATAATAAGAAGTAGACTGGTCTGAGAAAACTTGACCTGTATTGAATTATTGAACGGGGAGGAACTGTTGTTAGTTTCACACATCTCAATGGGAAAATTCTGGTCTTTCCTGAAAATGAGGTAATGTGTTCACATTCTGGGAGTTAGATTTATAGTTTTTTTTTTTTAACTATATTTGCACAAAAACAGAATGGTATACACCCACCACCCAAACTCAGCAGCTTTCAAGATTTTCATTAGCCATCTTTTTTTTTCTGATTTTATTTTTTTAAAGATTTATTTATTTATTTGAAAGGCAGAGTTACAGAGAGGCAGAGACAGAGATAGAAATAGAGAGAGGTCTTCGATCTGCTGGTTCACTCCCCAGTTGGCTGCAACAGCTGGAGCTGCGCTGATCCGAAGCCAGGAGCCAGAGCATCTTCTGGGTTTCCCATGTGGGTGCAGGGGCCCAAGAACTTGGACCATCCTCTACTGCTTTCCCAGGCCATAGCAGAGAGCTGGATCGGAAGTGGAGCAGCTGGGACTGGAACTGGCACTCACATGGGATGCCAGCACTGCAGGCCACGGCTTTACCTGCTTTGCCATGTGCCGGCCCCATCTTTCCTGATTTTATATCTTAGTCATTTTATCCTATACAGTTAGTATAGCTTTTTTTTTTTAAAGGTTTATTTATTTATTTGGAAAGTAGAGTTATAGAGAGAGAGGGAGACACAGAGTGAGAGATCTTCCATCCTCTGGTTCATTCCTCAGATGACTGCAACAGTCAAGGTTGGGCCAGGCCAAAGCCAGGAGTTTCATCCAGATCTCCTATGTGGGTGGCAGGGGCCCAGATACTGGGTCATATTCTGCTGCTTTTCCTAGGCCATTAGCAGGGCACTGGATGGGAAGTAGGGCAGCTGGGACATGAACCAGTGCCCATATGGGATGCTGGTGTCCCCGGTGGCAACTTAACCCGCTATGCCACAATGCCAGCCCCAGTATCTTTCTTTTTTTTTTTTTTTTTTTTTGACAGGCAGAGTGGACAGTGAGAGAGAGAGAGAGAGACAGAGAGAAAGGTCTTCCTCTACTGTTGGTTCACCCTCCAATGGCCGCCGTGGCCGGCGCGCTGTGGCCGGCGCACCGCGCTGATCCAATGGCAGGAGCCAGGTACTTTACCTGGTCTCCCATGGGGTGCAGGACCCAAGGACTTGGGCCATCCTCCACTGCCTTCCCGGGCCACAGCAGAGAGCTGGCCTGGAAGAGGGGCAACCGGGACTAGAACCTGGTGTGCCGGCCCCGCAAAGCGGAGGATTAGCCTAGTGAGCCGCGGCGCTGGCCATTAGTATCTTTTTTAAAAGTAGAAAATTTCTTACATAACCCAAAGGTTTTTAGTTTTGTTGTATGTTTAATACAGAGTTTGACAGATTTCCATTTTTCTGGTAAAAGAAAAAGTATTTGTTTGGTACCTCCTTCACCTATACTTGCGCATCCATTAGTGTTAAAGTACACCTGCCGTGGTTGTCATGTATCGAGTGTTTGCTACTTGGTAGGCCCTGTGCTAAGTGTTTTATGTCGTCATTTAAAGCCCACCAGGGGTCTCGGGGTGGATGCTGTCCTTCCACCAAAGATGAGAGGGCTTCAGCAAGTTCTTGGAAGGGGCAAGTACTTGGTGTGAGTGGTTAACTCATGCTTGGGGTGCCTGCCTCCTGTTATGAGGTTGCTTGGGTTCTGGTCCCAGCTCCACTTCCAGTTCAGCATCCTAACAATGCATGCCATGGAAGGCAGCAGGTGTCCCTCAAATACTTGGGTCCCTGCCACCCAATCCAGAGACCTGGATTGAGTTCTGGGCTCCTGGCTTCAGCCTGGTCCATCCCTGGCTGTTATGGGCATTTGGGGGGTAAGCCGACAGATGGAAGGTCTCTCTCTTCCTCACTTTCAGTCTACCTTTCAATAAATGAATAAGTGTTCATGGGAAATGCATATTATGAAGATATGCATAAATTTCAGATTTCTTTTTGCTGTAAAATTTTCAGTTCAGTTTTTCCACACACTTAACATATTTTTTATTCATTTGAAAGGCAGAGCTACACATAGAGAGGACAGAAAGAGAGAGAGATTTTCTATCTACTGGTTTACTCTCCAAATGGCCACAGCAGCCAGGATTTGGCCAAAGGAGCCAGAAACCCAAAACTCAATCTAGGTCTCCCACACCGGTGGCAGGAACCCAAGCACTTGAGGGTGGTCAGTACTCAAACGAGACACTGAGCTGTGGGATACAGGTGTTCCCAGCGTAATCCACTGTGCCACAGTAACTCTCCTCTACACACTTCTAGAGTGCCCTCACCCACTAATGAAGTGTTAACCTGGAGGTAACTGCTCCAGTTCCCAGGGCTAGTGACTACAAAATTCAAGTATCAGGATAAGCACCTGTGCCCTCATCTGATACAGTCATCTGGATTCAGAGATTGAAGAAAAAATTTTATGGGAATTACAATGAATTTTTATATACTATATTTGCTTATAAAACATTAACTAAAGTTCTAGAAATGATTCAGAGTAAACTAGTTACATTACTAAAATGTGATATATTTGTTACCATCTAACAGTATATTTTCTTTTTGGTACTTTTGTAAAAGATGGATAGATTTATTTATTTATAAGACAATTACACAGAGAGTGCAAGTGAGGTTTTCCATTCTTTGGTTCACAAATGGCCACAATAACTGGAGTTGCGCCACATTGAAACCAAGAGCCTAGAACTCCATTCGGGTCTCCCACATGGATGCAGGGGCCGTCTTCTCCTACTTTCTCAGGCACATTAGCAGGGAACTGGATTGGAAGCTGTAACCCTCTGCGCCACAACACTGGCCCTTGCCTCTTTTTTTTTTGTTTGTTTTTTGATACCTTATGTCCTTATGTATTTTTGGAAATATTTGTAGGAAGACTATTCTTGAAGAAAGGCTAAAAATGGCAGGCTTTTTTTTTTTTTTGGTACTAATTGTTAAAGCCAGGATTCTAAATATAAAGCAGAAAAGTAAGAATGTTTAGAATTAATTCTGTAAATGAATAGATCTGCAGTTGAAAGTGCATGAGAAATGCTGCAATTTTTACTTGACTTTATTTTTCGACTTTGTACCGGCCTACGCTCACAGAGCACAGAGACTAATACTGGAGTTCCCTTGGGTATTCTTGAGAAGGGGGAACTAAACTTGTCTTAAAGGATGTGATGGCGGAGAGGAAGTGGGAGAGGAAGGTAGGAAACTGAGCAGAGAGCGGCCAGTGACTAGATCAGAAGCAGTAGTTTTCACAACTCTGAAGGGGCAGCGTATTTCATTTGTAGAAGGTCTGGTATGATTTTGAGTTTTGTTTAGAAAGTAATTTCACAACTGCATCAGGGCACTGAATGGGTAACTTACTGTGCAGCTGTTCAACAGTGACCGTGGAAGACATTTTGGGTCTATTTCCAGACGGTAGACATTCGATTTGTTTTTATGTTTCCAGATCATTTTCTTTGCAAGTGCATTATTCACTTTAGAAAAAGTTCGTGTGGTTTTAATAACAGTTTCATTTACTGTTATCATAACCATGGTGGATAAGAGTACAGGCTGTCAAGTTAGACCTCCTACTGCCAACTCCAGTGCTGAATATCTGTATGACCTTGGGCAAGTCTCTTTAGTTCTATAAACTTCTGTTTTCTCCGCAGTAAAATGAGGATGGTAGTGCCTATCTCAGTGTTGTACTTGAATGTAGTATAAAGTGCATAGCATAGTGAATAAAAATAAGAATTAACATAAATAAATTAAAATAAAAAGAATTGAATAAGTTAGTAAATCTTTATTTTTTAAATTTATTTCATAGATAGAGTTAGACAGAGAGAGAGAGACAGAGAGAAAGGTCTTCCTTCCATTGGTTCACCACCCCCCAAATGGCCACTACGGCCGGCGTGCTGCGCCGATCCAAAGCCAGGAGCCAGGTGCTTCCTCCTGGTCTCCCATGTGGGTGCAGGGCCCAAGCACTTGGGCCACAGCAGAGAGCTGGATTGGAAGAGGAGCAGCCAGGACTAGAACCTGGTGCCTATATGGGATGCTGGCGCCACAGGCAGAGGATTAACCAAGTGAGCCACAGCGCAGCCCTGGTTAGTAAATCTTAGAATTTATGCAGTGTTTGATGACTTTTTAGTGAGAGTAAAATGTTTTTATAGGGGATGCAAATAAGAACTAGAGATTAATGAAATTGGCTGAAGATTATACAAACTGGAAGTACCATTTTTATTAAGTCCTGAAAACTCAATTCTTAGAAGAGAAACCTTCTCCCTCAGAGCACTTGAGGCTTTCCCTCTCTCAGAGTAAACTGATTTTGTCTTGCTGCAGAGACAACTTATATTGGAAGGTTTTCCTGCCCTCTACTCATCCTCATTCCAATGGTACTGGCTTGGACTTGTTACTTTTTTTTTTTTTTTTTTTTTTTAAGATATATCTATTTATTTAAAAGGCTGAGTTACAGAGAGGCAGAGACAGAGAGAGAAAGGTTTCTGTCTACTGGTTCACTCCCCCAAACGGCTGCAACAGCCAGAGCTGTACTGATCTGAAGTTCAGCTAGGACCAGGAGCTTCCTCACAGGTCACCCGCACAGGTGCAGGGGCCCAGAGACCTGGGCCATTTCCACTGCTTTCTCAGGCCATGGCAGAGAGCTGGATCAGAAGTGGAGCAGCGGCCAGCGCCGCGGCTCACTTGGCCAGTCCTCCGCCTGTGGCGCCGGCACACTGGGTTCTAGTCCCGGTCGGGGCGCCGGATTCTGTCCTGGTTGCCCCTCTTCTAGTTCAGCTCTCTGCTGTGGCCCGGGAAGGCAGTTGGAGGATGGCCCAAGTGCTTGGGCCCTTCACCCGCATGGGAGACCAAGAGAAGCACCTGGCTCCTGCCTTCGGATCAACACGGTGCGCCGACCGCAGCGCGCCGGCCTCGGCGGCCATTGGAGGGTGAACCAATGGCAAAAGGAAGACCTTTCTCTCTGTCTCTCTCTCTCACTGTCCACTCTGCCTGTCCAAAAAAAAAAAAAAAAAAAAAAAAAGGAGCAGCTGGGACTTGAATTTGCCCACATTGGATGCTGTACTGCAGACAGCGGCTTTACCTGCTACACCACAGCGCTGGGCCTTGGACTTGTTACCTCTTTCAGCATTCTAGTTCTTACATTCAGGGTCCTGCCGGTTTCCAGAGAGCTGAGTAGTTGGGATGGTTGAGATAGAGCTTTTGAGATTGGGTACAGGTAACCCTATTCTTTTTCTGAAACCACTTTCCAGTTCCCGAGTTTTATAATGTATTTAGCATGATGGTATACAGATTGAAAACACACACGTGACAGCTGCCTAAGTCCATCTTTGGTCTTGCTTTTCTCACTAGGTTGACTTATCCTCATCTTTGCCTTTCCAAGGGCTTCAAAAGAAAAAGAAAGGCAGCCTTTGCCCCTTGTCTGCCTCCTACTTTAACTCTTCTCTTTATTCCCAACCATGGTCTTTAAAAAGTACCACCATAAGAACTTACTCATAGTTCATGGTATAGAATTCATTCTTTTTTTTTTTTTCTTTTTAGCATTTATTTTATTTATTTGAAAGGCAGAGTTACAGAGAGAGAGGGAGAGATAGAGATCTTTCATCCACTGGTTCACTCCCAGGCCAAGCAGAAGCCAGGAGCTTCTTCCAGGTCTCCCAGATGGTTGGCAGGGGCCCAGGCACTTGTGCCATCCTCTGCTTCCTTCTCAGGTGCATTAGTAGGGAGCTGGATTGGAAGTGGAGCAGTTAGGACTTGAACCAAACTGGCACCCATATGGGATGCTGGCATTACAGGAGGCGATTTAAACCTTTATTCCACAACACCAGGTCTTCATTCTGTCTTTTAACAGATACTGAGTCCCTTCCTGCCAGGGACTGGCCAAGTACTTATCCTGTAACCAAAGGACAGTATATACACAAACCCTGCCCCTGTGACACTTAAGATCCAGGAAGAGGAAAGAGAGACAATAAAATGTCTAAAGTTAGAATTTGCTAAGTGCTGTGGAGAAAAGTGACAGGAAACGGAGGTAGGAAGTGTATGTTTCTAGGGGGGAGGTAACTGAGAAAAGTAATTTGCCTTATTCAGAATTATTAAGAATTTCAAGATTGGAGTGTTATTGTGACATATTATGAGTAATTGGTGGTCATATTGTAAAATTAGAAATAGTGTTTCAGGGGCTGGCTCTGTGACGTAGCGGGTAAAGCCACCGCCTGCAGTGCCAGCATCCCATGTGGGTGCTGGTTTGAGACCCAGCTGTTCCACCTCCAATCCTGCTCTCTGCCTGGAAAAGCAGTAGAAGATGGCCCAAGTTCTTGGGCCCCTGCACCCATGTGGGAGACCTGGAAGAAGCTCCTGGCTCCTGGCTTCAGATTGGCGCAGCTCTGGCCATTGTGGTCAACCAGCAGATGGAAGATTCTCTCTCTCTCTCCCCCCCACTTCTTCTTCTCCTTCTCCTTCTCCTTCTCTTTCTCTCTCTGTGTAACTCTTTCAAATAAATAAATCTAAAAAAAAAAAAAAAATAGTGTTTCAGGACACCATGTTTAGTATAAATAAATATCTGTAATTTTAGTAGGAGTCTTTGGTGTGTAACAGATCTCAATATTTCTATTTTCTAGTCATTTAAATCAGGGAAAAAAAACAGGTACAACAAAGCATAATGCAGATATTTTTCAAATGATTCAGAATAGACATCTTCATTTGATTTATCCTTCACGTGTTGTATTAATGTCTGTTTTAAATTCAGTTGACTTTTATGAATACTGTGTTAATTGTGATGAGTAATGTATGTTTCCTGTAGAAAATTGGAAAGCTATAGGGAAATTTAAAGACAAATGTAATAGTCATTAGTAATCATAGGACAGACAACCACTGTTAATAATTTGGTAAATTTTCCAGAACTTTTTCTTTGTAGAAAATGGAATTATATTATGTACTTTACTATGTAAACTACTTTTTTTTTTTTTTTTTAAGATTTGTATTTATTTATTTGAAAGACAGTTAGAGGGAGTGACAGAGAGAGATCTTCCATCCACTGGTTTACTACCAAGTGCTACAACAGCTGGAGCTGAGCTGGTCCAAAACCAGGAGCGAGGATCTTCATCTGGGTCTTGTCTCCCACATGCGTGCAGGGCCCCAAGTACCTGGGCCATCCTTTGCTGCTTTCCCGGACGCATTAGCAGGGAGCTAGATAGAAAGTGGAGCAGCCAGGAGTTGAACCGGCACCCATATGGCATGCCGGTGCTGCAGGTGGTGGCTCTTCCTGCTGCACAACAGTGCCGGCCCCAATGTAACCAGCTTTTTAGCTTACTAGCATTTGCCAAAAGAGGATATATTTCATTTTATATTTTCTACAATATTTTGTTGGTTAAATAATATTACCTTGCTACTATTGAATGTTAATGTCCAATCTTTATTGAGTATTTATTTTATCTTTGTTATTTTTTAAGATACTTCATATATTTAAACTCCTTTGATCTTTAGCCTCTCTATAGAGCTGGTTTGTTATTGTTTATTTGACAGTTGTGCAGTTGAATAAGGACAGGGCTAGTAACTTGCCAAGGTCACACAGCTAATAAGTGGTAGATCTAGAATGTGAGTTTAGTCTCTCTCTAGATCTGTGCTCATAACAATCTTTTTGCTTCTGTAACTTTAAGGTGGTTTATACCTTTTTGTTACTCATTAGGGGTGGGGGACCTTTTTTCTGCCAAGGGCCATTTGGATCTTTATAACATTGTTCACAGGCCATACAAAATTATCAACCTAAAAATTAGCCTGCACTGGGTTCATTGAATTTCAAGTCCCACCTGTGGTTGCCTTGGCAGGGCCAGACCAAAGGATTTCATGGTTCTTAAATGGCCTGGACGTGTCCCACCCTTGGAGTCATAGCTAACATCCTTGTAGATGTATCTGTGTTCACAGCTATGTTTATTTCATTAGAATAAGTTTCTAGTAGTAGAATTGTTGGATCAAAAGGTGTGGATACCTTCGAAGACCCATGTAGACATACAATTGCCAAGTTGTCTTCCAGGAAAATTCGTCAGTACCTTTGTGTACTCCTAAATAAAACCAGTCCTATTCCCCCATATCCTTGGAAACACTTTTTAAATTTTAATCTGCTAAACTAATGAAGACAACCTTGTATTAATTTGTCCTTTTCTAATGTTAAAAAGGTTACACTTGCTTGTTTTTCTTCTTTGGGAAATGTGGTCTGTTCTCATTTCATTGGCACATCCCTTTGTTTTTAAGGAGGGGCCTTTGAAAAGTTAATGGATGGGGCTGAGGCTGTGGCATAGCAGGCAAAGCCACTGCCTACAGTGCCAGCATCCCAAAGGATCCCATTTTGAATCCTGGTTGCTCCTCTTCCAGTGCGGCTCTGTGCTGTGGCCTGGGAAAGCAGCTAGAGGATGGCCCAAGTGCTTGGGCCCCAGCACCCATATGGGAGACCCTGAAGAAGCTCTTGGCTTTGGATTGGTCCAGCTCCAGCAATTGTGGCCATTTGGGGAGTGAATCTCTGTAACTCTCTGCCTTTCAGAGAGAGAGAG